GGATTCCTATGAGGAACAAGTGTTTTACATTTGATCCAGTTGAAGAGAATTTTGAAGCCATGAAAAGTATACAAGAGGAGGAGGAGTTATGGCATAGAAGACTGGGTCATTTCCATAGCAAGGGGCTGCAATACTTGCAGCAAAATGAAATGGCAGTGGGGCTACCTATGTTGCAGAAGGAAGTAACTGGCTGTAGAGCATGTTTACAAGGCAAGCAAGTGAGGATTCCTTTCAAGAGGTCAAATTGGAGGGCCAGTGAAAAGCTGCAACTAATCCACACAGATGTGTATGGTCCAATGCCAGAAGAATCACTGAACGGTAGCAAATACCTCATCACTTTCATAGATGATTGCACTAGAATGTGTTGGGTGTACTTCATGAAGAATAAGGCTGAAGTTAATGAGATTTTTTTGAGGTTCAAAAGAGAAGTAGAGAAGGAGAGTGGCTGTAATATCAAGACAATTAGGTCAGACAATGGAGGAGAATACACCTCAGGCAGTTTCAGGGCTATATGTGATGATGCAGGGATCAAGCACCAGCTCACTGTGCCATACACTCCACAGCAAAATGGAGTGAGTGAAAGGAAGAACAGAAGTATCATGGAGATGGCCAGATGCATGCTACACGAGAAAGAACTCCCTAAGAAGTTCTGGGCTGAGGCTGCCAACACTGCAGTCTTCCTTCTGAACAGACTGCCCACTAAAGCTCTCAACAAACAGACACCATTTGAAGCATGGCATGGATATAAGCCTAAGGTGAGTAACCTGAAAGTGTTTGGCTGCATTTGCTATTCACTGGTTCCTTCTGTTAAGAGAGATAAGCTTGATCCAAGAGGAAAAGCATGTATCTTTGTGGGGTATAGTTTGCAATCTAAGGCTTATCGAGTTTATCATCCTGCTAGCAACCAGGTTGTGGTGTGTAGAGATGTGAGTTTTATGGAAGATAAGAAGTGGGACTAGTCTGTGGAAGGTGGCAAGGCTGAAGAGGAGGTAGTGCCATTGCAGGTTGAACCAAATGAAGTGGAAGTCGAGGATCTAATTGATCATGTTCCTGCAAGAGGCACTAGATCTCTTGCTGAAATCTATGAGAGATGCAATACAGCTATGCTTGAACCAGCTAGCTATAAGGAAGCAAGTGAAGATGTGAAATGGTGTGCTGCAATGGAAGAAGAAATCGGAATGATTGAAAAAAACCAAACATGGGATCTAGTTGAGAGGCCCAGAAGCAGAAAGGTGATTGGAATGAAGTGGGTATTCAGGACAAAGTTGAATCCTGATGGCTCAATACATAAGTACAAAGCAAGACTTGTTGTCAAAGGCTATGCGCAAGTATGGGGGGTAGACTACTCTGAAACCTTTGCTCCAGTGGCAAGGTTGGATACCATAAGAATGTTGCTAGCAGTTGCTGCACAAAAGGGCTGGCAAGTATTTCAGCTGGATGTGAAGTCAACCTTCCTGAATGGACAGCTAGTGGAGGAGATATATGTTGAGCAGCCTGATGGCTTTGTCGTTAGGGGCAAGGAAGATTACGTGTACAAGTTGAGGAAAGCCTTGTATGGCTTGAAGCAGGCTCCAAGAGCCTGGTATAGTAAAATTGATAAGCATCTGCAAGAACTTGGGTTTAAAAAAAGTTTGAGTGAAGTGACTCTATATGTGAAGAAGGGTGTGGAAGGTGTAACTATTGTCTCTCTTTATGTTGATGATCTTTTGGTTACTGGTGATTGTGAAGAGCATATTGCAGAACTAAAGAGAGGGCTGATGAAGCAGTTTGAAAGAGGTTTGAGATTGAGGAATGTAGAAGTGTGAACACTCCTATGAATCTAAAGGAGAAGCTACAGAAGACTGAAGGAGCTGAGCCTGCTGATGAAGGTTTTTACAGAAGTTTAGTCGGTTGCTTGATGTATCTAACTGCAACAAGACCAGATATCCTGTATGCAGTAGGTGTGCTTTCAAGATTCCTAAGTTGTGCTGGTGAAGAACACTTGGTAGCTGCAAAAAGAGTGATTAGATACTTGAAAGGCACTCAGTCATTTGGTGTCAAGTTTACTAAAGTGGACAATTGCGGGTTGCAAGGCTTTCTTGGAGTGATTGGCTGGTTCGATCGAGGATATGAGGAGTACAAGTGGTTTTTGTTTTACTTTGGGATCCTGGATGTTTCACCTGGAGCTCAAAGAAACAAGAAGTGGTTGCTCGGTCCACTGCAGAAGCTGAGTTTCTAGCAGACTCTGCAGCTGAGCCAATCATGCAATATGGCTAAGAAAGCGATGCGGGATCGGAAATGGAAGTTGAAGGACCAACTGAGATACTTGTGGACAACCAAGCTGCACTAGCCATATCTCAAAACCCTGTCTTTCACGGGAGAACCAAGCATTTCAAGATCAAGTTCTACTATCTGAGGGAAGTGCAACAAGAAGGTGAAGTGAAGCTACTCTATTGCAAGACAGAAGATCAGGTGGCTGATGTGTTTACTAAGCCACTGCAAGCAAGCAGACTTGAGTTACTGAAGAAGAAGGCTGGAATGTGTTCTGCTCCTTAAGCCAAAGAGGAGTATGTTGGTTATGTCTTAAGGACCATTTTCGGTCATTTTTGTTCTGGTCTGTTAGCTGGTTGTTTTTTGGTTTTACTTAGTCAACAAGATAGTAGGAGTTTGTTGTTTTCAGTTCCTATTTTGTTGCTAGTTAGTGGTGTAGTGGTTTTTGTCAGTTACTAAGTTAGTGCAATTCAGTTTTCGTTGTTTTAAAAAGAGCTATGTACTCTTCTCGTTTTTGAGAATGTGATAAGTGCATTTCCAGATCAATCTTCTCTTGTTCTTCTACATTTGAGAGCACATTCTGTGCAACAGATGGTGCTGGTCATTCATTCATGTCACGATGATCATTAAACGAGAAGAAAACAGCTGTTAACACCGTTTGAAATCCGTGGCAAGAGAACTAGAGAGAAGCCACAGCAGCTGCGTCAGTTTTGGTCAAATTGTCAGAGGGACTATTGATGTGATAGTAGGAGCAGACTCTATGTTGGGTAACCAAGCTTTGCTAGTGAGAACAAACTATATAGGCGGACTAAACGCAGGCGACTCCTCTAATAAACTTGTAAGGGCTCTTATCTCCTCGAAAAGATCTCCAACAGATCGGTTGGAGGACGCACGTGTATATAATGAGGATCAAAGCAGCTGGAAAAGGGTTGGACAGAAAATTTCCAATATTATCCACTTCGATCTGTCTCAAGCAAACTGCACTTGTGTCTGGTTAACGTTCTCTCATCTGTAGACTTCTTGTTGTGTTGTAATCAGTGAAAAGAGTTGTGTGCAAAACTGAAAGCAGCATTTGCATTTTGATAGGGTGATCTACCATTTGAGAAAGTAGTACTTGCTGTGTTGTAACACTCTTGAAGATTACTAATGGATTCCGGCTGGTGTTCAGGTGTTAGTATGGAGAGTGGACGTAGGCTTGGTTATAAAGTTGAACCATTATAAATCTTCGATGCTATTATTATCTCTTTGCTCATTATTGCTTAAGTTTTTCTAGCATGCACACACAACTGGTATCTTCAATTTGTTTCTACAAGTAACAAAGTATATCGTGCTATCTACTAGGAAAAATTTTGTAAGTTTCCAATCAACCTATTCACCCCCCTTACGTTGTATGTTAGCCCTAACAACAAATTCTTTTCTCCTTATTAGAAGCGTCCAATTTAGAAGTGGAAAATGGAATTTGAAATATTTCATTCGTGATACCTTTGGCATAAGAAAGTGAAAAAGAAAAACAATTTGTTTCCAAAGTTGAAGATAGAGAACCTATTATAGCTGAAGAATGAGAGTGCTTGGGTGGTCCTGCTGGAGTGCTCAAGCATGCTCAACCTTCACAATGAACCAAGCATGCTCAACCTACACGATGAACCAAAGTGGTCGCAATAAACCGGAGTGCTCACTCAACCTTCGCAATAAAACCGAGGGATCGCAATGAACTAGAATGCTCAACCGTGCTCTCCCTTAGTTTCATAGCACCTCTCTGCTGCGCTCAACATTCGCAATGAACTGGAGTCAATGCTTTAAACCTCCCTTGAGCCTATGTTGTAGAAGTTTTGTAAAATGACGAAAGATGAAACCTTAAGGGATGGAGTTTTCATGGTGATCCTTTTTTTTTTTTTTGCTAGAGTTATCATGGTGATCCTTATGAAGCCTAGACAGTAGAAGTTTTCATGGTTTTTCTACAGCGGAGCTCTTCTGAAACGAAAATGGAAGGACAGAGCTTTTCTCTTAACGAAACGTACAAGATGGGTTAAAGTCAGACAAATGGACCTTTGGCTGGCCTTTCATTTTTCCAAGTATTATTAGAGCTGCCGATGTCATTTTGCAGCTAGACCGACTTTCACTTTGTTTTAAGTTAATTGCAAGTTGCTTGCCACGCGTCAATTTTTAAGCGAATCTGACTAGGTAATTGCACACTACATCATTCGCTAACATGATACTATGATACTACTGAATATTTTCTCCCCGTTTTACCACCTCTAGCTCCATCATACCTACCCATATTTTAGAGACACCATACACTCGCCACCAATATTTTTCCCTGTAACGCTTGCTCTGTCGCAATCGATTGAGAGGCATTTCCCGGAAAACATTCCCAACTTTTGGAGCTGAGTGACGCCAACAGGTCACGTCCCCGAAAGGAAGTCTCGGTTAACCCTTTTTCTTGTTGTGATGCACGCTTGATGCACGCTTGTACCTCGAGAAGCGCTCCGCCGTTCGATGACAAGCTCATTCTCAGAGAGTTGGACCGGAAAAACTCTAAGCTTCGACTCCTTCTAAGCAGGCTCCTTCACAGCGGAACGAGAGGGCCATGTTTTTCCATCAGCCTCAACCTTCATATCTTACATTATTTCAGAATTCAGAAGATGAAGCAAACCAAGCCACTTCCCGCCACCTAAGTCTGTACTCTTTCTTTACCATATAACAGAGAAGCCCCCCCACAGAAACGAAAAGCATCATTCATAACAATGAAATGAATTGAAAGGAAACAAATTTAATTTAGTGCATCACACTTTCGCTCTGTAAAATCTTGCTCTACATTTTATATATACATATAGCTTCAGATGAACTCAAAATGTCATAAAGGCCGCAATCCTTCACCAATCATTGCACATGATTTCCTAGATTTCATCACAAATTGCAGTGTTAGGGTGGAGGGTGGGAATTTCTCACAGTGAAGTCAATGCAATGATATCAAGATAGAAAAACAAACTTCACTTGAACTTCTCCACTACCTATCCTCTTCAGTGTTATCAGTATCAGAGTCAGAACCACTATTGAAGCTGAGGATTTCTCCATCATCCTCTTGATCAAATTTTAAGTCCAGTACGTAAGGTTCGATCAATTTCCAAAACCACGTAGAATTGCTTCCTAGTAGACCTATCCAAAAAACTTGTCCTTTCCTCTTGACCCTGCAATCCAAGGACTTTGCTTTTAACGCCTTAACAACTCTCTCGACTCCTTCTTGACTTCCTTTAAGTTTAAGCAATACATCTCCTGACGATGTCCTGTAACCCCCGTACATGTACCAGTACGCAAGGACGCAAGGTGACAACCACCGATGTATTAACTTTGGAATCACTGGTTTCCCTCTGGGCCAAAACTGGTCTGCATAGAAACCAAAATATGAATGAGAAATGGTGGAGAAGCTGTTTGGTATTTCATTGGAGTTATCATCTAGCTTGCAAGAAGGATGTAGCCACTCATGGTAATGTTCATATATATGTCTCTTCAGAGCAGAATGCATCCCAGAATTCTCATTGAACTTGAACTTGATCATGTGGTTTTTTCTCTGTTCATCAGAATCTATTTGTACACCACCTAAGAGCATGCCTACTAAAATTTCTCTTTGCTCTTTGGTCAGCTTGAGGCTCACCGGCTTCTTAACAGCTTTTCCTCTTAAACTAAGGATAGGGTCAAGCTTTTCCATTGAGGCCGGTTCAATTTCATATTTTTTCTGACACATAAGCTTATATAATTTCTCTGCCTTCAGATAGTCTCCAGCGGACAAATACCCACTTAAAATGGAGTTGCAATTACGTCCACTGATGCCAATTGCTCCACTACTATGCATGTCACTAAAAATCTCCTCGGCTTTGCTAATGTCACCGATCCTCACCAAAGAATCCAAGTATATGCCATATATTACACGATTTGGCTGACACTTCTCTTGGCACTGGGAGAAAGCTGACTCCAGCTTATCATGCAGGCCTAAGTTGAAATACATATTCATCATATCAACAAAAGAAGGACCAAGCGGCTTTAGACCACTCTTCTTGAACTCTTCCATGAGAGATTCTGCCAATTCCACATCTTGAGCTTTACAAATCACTTCTATAATTTTATGGTACGCTGCCACGGTGGCGGAACCCGAACGCTCCTGCATCTCCCTGAATAAATTCAAAGATTTCACGTGATCTGCAACCTTCGCATAGACTTCCATTTTGTACACATAAGCTAGAGAAGGAAGTTTTTCACCCAAATCGTGAAGTTTGAGCCAAACTGTTTCGGCTTCATCTAAATTCCCCTCCTTAGAGCAAGCCCTCAGTACAGACAGAAGCACCTCTTGAGTCTCTTCAATTCCAGATTCTTGCATCTCCTTTCTAAGTTGTGCGATCCGCTCTGTGTCTACGGTGTCCTGATAGCTATGCAGCCATATGAGACCCCCATAAATATCTTTGTGTATCTCAAGCCCAGATGACACCAAATTATGGAATATGAATTCGGCTTGCTTAAGATGATGTTTCAACAAGGCTCCTGAGCCACTCACCAGAGCTCTGAATAGAGAGTTGTGCAAACTAAGTCGAGGCTGATACCCTCCCAACTGGATCATGCGATTGTAAATACTACATGCTTCCTCAAGGCAACCTTGAATGGGTGCACTCAGATATGCAACAATGAGAACGTGGAAAGTAGATTCACTGGGAACCCGTCCCTGGTTTATTATGTCATCGAACATCTCCCTACACTTCGTGAATTTCCGGTTCTTACCCAAGTAATCGGCAAGCTTTGTTGCAAGCACGAAATCGAATCTATACCAATGTTGCTGCATCATCCACTTGTACACCTACAATGTGGTGATGTACTTCAAAGTCATGAACATAGCTTTTGCAACAAATTGAGGAGGCAGAAGTCCTGATTGTTAGAAAAGAAACTAGGAGCGAACTCAAAGAACGGCAATGATTAACATGCTAGTGAGTAGTGAACAAACCAAGCCTATGTCCTCTGCATTTCTCATGAAGAAAGCCCAGAAACAAGTGACAAAGTAAGAATCAACGCCACATACCTTGAAGGCAGTCTCGTTCTCCCTGATCCTCATACAGTGAACAGCCACATAAGTGGCATCCTCTTGCCTCATCCACTTCCTCTGCGCATTCAGAATCCTTACCAAAGTACCCGCCTTTTGCGCCGGCAACTCCTTGCACAGCCACGCCAGCTTCGCCCGCCGCCACTGCTCCGGCATCTCCTCCAGCTCCTTAACCTCCACCGCGGGCGACACCACTCGCCTCGTGTCACTCCCCACGGACCCCATATCGAAGCTGAACCCATCGGCTTCACCACCCCCGCTCGCGAGCTCACAGTTCTCGTCAGAATCGGGTCTGTCCGCCACCTGTTCGACGGAACTACTCAGCGAAGCGGGAGAGGCGCGGGGCGAACCCAGAAGGGGGAGCCGCGAGAAGGGCAGGCGGAGGGCGGCGAAAGAGAGTCGCCGCCGCGAGTGGCCGAGGAGCGACAGAGCGTCGCGGCGGCCGCCGCCGCGGTGGTGGGGTTGGAGGGAGAGGGAGAGGGAGCGGAGGAGAGAGAGGGAACCGCGCATGGAGGGACTGGGGGTTGCCCGAAGAGCGGCGGCGGCGGCGGCGGGGAGCGGAGAGAGAGAGAGCTCAGAGGTCGCGGCGTTCAGAAGCATGTCGTTTGGAGCTTCCGCTCTGCGCGGCGGTGGAATGAGGAAGGAATGACCATGGCCTATCGGAAAAGATGAAGAAGAAGAAGAAGCAGCAGCAGCGGATAAAGTTTGCCTAATCAAGGCCCATGGGCCCATGGGCCTCAGCCCAATTACATCGTGCCCGATGCATTCCTCGGGATTTCGGTTTTTTTTCTTTTTGGTCATTTATTCTTCGACTTTTGAAAAAAAAAATTGAGTCTAGGAAAATTAATCCCGATTTTATTCATAAGTAGGATATACCACCGTCTCGATCCACTGTTGCCTTATGTGGTTACTTGAGTAGTCCTTTTGGGGATGAGCCGAATCGGGGCAGATGGTAGCTACATCAGGTGGCGATCATTTCGGGTGTGCATTTACTTATGGATCGCTCGATAGAGCCTTTTTCCAAGTCTTTCCCATTCGTCTCATGGATATGGGATTTAGTAGGGGGGCAAATGGTGCGCCCGGTTTCTTCAATAGAAGAATTGACCCAACCCAAACAATTCGGCCTTGATTTTTATCGGACCAAGTTTGTTGGCCCGAACTAAATTGGCAAAACTTGGCCCGGCATGATTTTTCTTGGGCCGGGCTGGCTCGGGTCCACCCAATCCCGAAACGACTGTGTTTTTTTATATATATAAAAAAAACGGAAGAAAAAATTAAAAGATCACATCCCGCCTAAGAGAAATACCAACATATAGCAAGAGTTCTTCGCAAGAACTCATTGTTTGGCAAGATCTCTTCTCAAAAACCAAAAGCAAGAACGAATTTGTTTTTAAGAAAATCCAATCTCGGTCGCTTGGCGCGGAAATTGTGCTCGTGATGCTCAAAACGTCACTCGTGGTGGTTGGAATTTTGTTCGCGGCGGTCATGTGGTGGAGCCGTCGTCTGTAACTGGTGGAGACGAGTGGCGGGAAGCAGGGAAGGTAAAAGCCCTGGATTAGAACAGATGACGAATTTTATTCTCTTGTACTTATAAAGGAAAAAAATTAACATATTATTAAATATTTGAGTGTGTATTTTTTGTCTAATTCCAATGTTAAAAATATAATTCATGATTCTCCATTAAGTAGGATTCGAGATTTATTTGGGTCGAGTGTATACTTTTTTGTCAAAATTTTTTTTTGTTCCTGTCGTTACATCAACTTTTGTCTTGATTTCATTAGTTCAATAACTCAGTTCCATACTAAGTAGTTCAATTGAAAGATTCAAAACTTATTTTGTTTGAATGTGTACTTTTTATCTAATTCCATTGTTAATATCTAGTTGGTTTTAATTAGGGATTATTTTTTATTTTAATTTATTACAGGATTTTTTTCCATATTACCTTTTTTAATTTCTTTGGTTCAATAATTTCATCATATACCAGGTTCATGTGAAGGATTCGAGATTCGTTTGGTTCGATTGTGTACCTTTTGTCTAATTCCATTGTTAAATGCAATTCCTAAAGCTCAACTTGGTATTAATAGGAGTTCCTTTCTATTTTTTTTTTGTATGAAAAAGTTTAGGAGGAGGGGAGTTACGTTCTATTTTACTGTAAAGAAGATTGTTTTCCTTTTCAAATCACCTTTTCATTTTGCTGGTTCAATAGTTCAATTGAAGGATTCAACTGGATACCTTGAGTTTGTATATATATTTTTTAATTCCATTGCTAAATGCAATTCCTAACCTCAATTGATTTTAATCAGGGGTTTTTGCTAATTTTTTTCTAAAGAGTTATTTACTACTTTATAATGTTAGAAACTCACCCACTTGAGAACCAACGGGACCGTCAATGTTGGCCCGTACATACATCTATTAGAGGAGGTCCTGCTTTGATGTCATCTGCAACGATACGACATGTCTTATGCATGCCAAGCCCTTGAAAGGAGTACTCAAAGTAATCACACAAGAAGTACTCATTCGGGATGGATGTTACTTATGAAACTGTTACAAACCCTCACCCATCTATCGTCGGGCATGGGAATTACACCTAGTGTCACGAATAAAGTTCAATTAAGGCTTCGTTTGTTTTGCGAAAAATAAAATGTTTCTAGAAAATATTTTCCAGGAAAATGATACAATTTTCTGATGTTCGACTGAAATTTGAAATGACTCTAAAAATATTTTCCGCCATTTGGTATGGAAAATTTGATTTGATTTTCCTCCATGCACTACTTTTAATAATTTTTTTTATTTTATTCTTTTAAATTTACTTATTCTTTTCTTTTTTCTTTTTTTCTTTTTTTTCCCTTCTTCTCGTGCTGATCACCGACCATGGTGACGGCCGGTGACCGACCACAGGTGAGCTCGAGCCTCGCCACAGGCCAGCGAGGCTGCAGCTTATTAGATTCCAACGAGCCAAGCTGAGCCGAGCTAGCCTCGAGCGAGGCTCCACCTCATCAGATTTGACAAGGTCAAGCTAGCCCAAGGTCAGTGAGCGAGCTTAACTACCTTTGGCGAGGCCGGAGCCTCATCGCCCTCTGGTGACGCTCAAGCGTCACTGATCTGCGTGGCTCAAGCCTCGCCACCCTCTGGCAATGCTTGAGTGTCGCTGATCTGGCGAGCTTGAGCCTCACAAGCTTGTGGCGAGGCTCGTGCTTGCCTGTGGCCAATCACTGGCCATCGAAGAAGAAAATAAAAAGGAAAAAAATCAAAATAATCCGAATGAATGGTGAAAGAAAGAGGAAGGAGAGGAAATCATTTTCCCCACTTTTGACTGTGTGTTTTCCATTGACGAAAAAAATTTTCATTGACTTGTTTATTTTCCGTGAGTCGATCGTTGAAAAATCCAAAAAATATTTTCTTGAAAGTTATTTTCTGCGAAATGAACAGAGTTTAAGAAGCGTGATTCAAATTCAGGTTGGTTCGCTTTGTGACATAAAAAGTAAGGTTGTCAAAACTGTTTTTTTTTTTTTGCTAATTAAGGAACTGTAGAATAATCGGACTTTTCTTTTTTGGTCGACTGAATAATCTGACTTCAAAATCATAGAATTCTACAAATCTTAATACATGACGTCTGGTACGTTTCACCTTTTCTTGATTTTTCTTGACCAGATGGGCCAGCAAAGTTGTGCGAGGAGTGGAAGCCACAAGGCCATAAGGAGAAGGAAAGAAATAAATAAATTTGATAGTGGGAACCACAAACAAAAAAATTAGAAAAATCAGCTTTGCCTAAAAGGGAAACTTCTATCACTGCTTAAGTTATTGATAAAAAAAAATCTTTACCTTTGTTAGGATAGGCATTACTATCCAAACAAACATAATTATAATATATATATATATATATATATATCTATATATATTTCTATCAAATAATATTGAAATTAGGTCATCGTTGTTGATTACACTTCAATTGCTAAAAAGCGGCAAAATGTAAGAAAGACAGAACATGTTAAACCCACTTACGACATTATATAGAATTTATTGTTTCATGACGTTATGGTCAAAATTTATGTTAATTGTGATTTATGCGATACTTTAATTTATATTGGATGAAAAACACAAGTTGATTTGATGAAATCGAGAAATCATGAATTTATTATAAGTCTTTTAAAGTACCAAGTCACGTAAATAGAAAATAAATGAGCCATAGAAGCAAAAATTATTCGGGACCAATTTTCTTTCTAACAATTTCAAATAATAACTAAAGACGCAGAACACTACCTTTGTGTTATGAGAAATGGATATTTCTATTTTCATGATAAAATAAAAATAACTAAATTAAATTTTTAACGGCCAATAAAACAAATAGTATAACTCAATCATTAAAAAAGTATACCTTATTTTTGCGCGAAGCGCGAGGCCAATATTAGTTACTTAAAATATTTGTAAAACATTACACTATTGCTATAACAAAATATAAGTCACATAAGAGTGTCATGAACACTATAAGACACAACGTCGACACAATGTCACACAAACAAGTAGTTGGAATGGCAAACTAGATTAATTTAACACAAGCACAATATTCTCATTGAGGATAAGCATTATCTACTATGTTCGTCTTTTATTTTTATTTTTTTTGGTAAAAATTCGTTTTTATTGGTGTCTCGACAAATCTTGACTGTGTCATATCAACCATGAATTTTATAAAAATATATTTATTGGGATGGATTAGTTGTTTGGATTGATGTGATGGAGACATTGACGAAAATAGAGGATCTCATCCCTCTCGATAAAGTTTCATAATAAGGAAACAAACAAAATAGAAAAGACAGGCAATGAGAACTTAACAGTCCATTTCATCTAAGGCAAATTGAAAAAAAATAGACAAGTCAAAGTTTTTACCTTTTAGGGTCTGTTTTGTTTCGTGAAAAATACTTTCTTAAAAATGATTTCTTATTTCAATTTTTTCAATTTTTTTTATAAAAATTTTCTGAATTTTTATTTTTATTTTTATGTTTTTTCTTTTCTTTAAAATAAAATCTTAAAATATAAAAATATTATCCGCTTAAGCATTGGCTATGCCACGTAGGATGAACGCATTCACGTCAGCATTCGGGAAAAATTGGCTGAAAGGAGTACATTGGCATTCGTCAAAAGATTTGGGACTGAATTCGATAAATTAAAAAGTTTAAGACTGAATTGGCTTCTGTAAAATAAATTTAGGACTTTTTTAGTTATTTTTCCGTAGAATAAGACGTTTCTTTTATGAGGAATTTAAAGATGGAAAAAGAAACAAGAAGGATTAGTTGAGGTAACGAGAAAATTGAAACACTTGCTCACAAAAATGCAGGCATTAAAAAGAAATGACTACATAAAGAAAATAGACAATCAGTCTCGAAATAAATGCGAAATCTACTTTGGAATGATGCCTCGAAATGAAAAATAAATCTAGTGACAGAACTAACGCAGTGACTGTTGATCAAAATCGGATTACATGTCACTTTTTTTATGTTACTTATGAACTTTTTGTGCCATATACACTCTCTCAGACGGACACGCACGGAATCAAAGTCTGAGAGATAGATATTTTTGTTTGGTCGAAAGTCTGAGAGATAGATAAATACGCAATTTAATGAACAAAAATGACCAATATTAATACTATTCATTTGCAT